TACTTGAAAGCTTCCAAATGTGAAGGCTTTGGCTGCAGAAATGAACTTTGCTGGGAAATGTGATGGTACTAAACTCTACTCCTTAGAACAAAAATAAATCATGCCCTCAGGAGCACAGAAATGCCCAGAAACTGTACTAACGAAGACATGGGAAACGTTGTATGCACTGTGGGGAAAATACAGATAAAATCAGTACTAAAACATGTATGTTACGGAGAACAAATTCTCTACCTGGATGATGCTCATGTTGCTGTTTATTTCTCTGAATTTTTTATAGCCTGCAATCCTATATACCTATACCTAGGAGCAATTCTCAGTAAACCTATTGAGGCTTACTTGTGATTAGACATGTCTAGGCTTTATTTATTTATTGCTCAGTAATGAGTTACTAAATTATTCACAATTGGTTATTTTTAGTTACATTCTGCCTTTTCTCCAATAAGATTAAGGTAGTATATATATTGTTCTACTTCTCCCCACTTTATCCTTATAAGATGAAGAAGTAGGTTAAACTGAGAGAATGTGGTTGCTCCAAAGTCACTCTGTTAGTTTCATGCCTCTCACTGCACTCACTTGGCTAGGAGTATGAGTTCATTGAAAGTCCATTTTTCCTGGCTCCAGAACAAGCCTGTCATGAAATTATGAGGGAAAACTTTATGTATTAAATAAAATTAATATGCCGCTGCCTTCACTAAGACTAATCTTTCCAGCACTCCCAAGACTGTGTCTGACATGTTGTTGGTATACAATGCCACTCGTTTAATAGATTACTCTCAACTGCCTCTGCAGTCATTAAAGGTTTCCAATAGCTTTAGCATTTTCAATTTGGACAGGGAGGCTTGATCTGCAATATTTCCTACACAGATGCCCTATATAAACACAATGCCAGTAATAATCAGCTAATATTTTAACTTGTTTGTTCCAGAGGGTTTGATTAATTGACACAGCCATACTTAGCAGCTTAATCTAAGATTAACAGATTGCTGTGCCAGAGGCAGGAGGACAGAAGACAGTGGCTAAATGAAAACTCCTCTTGATATATTGCTTGATGGAAGAGGGAGGCTTGGTGCAATAAGGAGGGGACTGAGGGTAGTTATGCAGGAGAGAAGGAAAATGAAATTGGAACTGATCAAGTTAAATTGTCTCCCCATTTATCCCATTTTGCACATTTTATTTCCTTGACTTCCATTAGAGACTCATTTTCGATGAGGCCGGGAACAGACTGAGAAAAACATCAACTGATTGGAGCTTAATATAATGGGGGTTTATGCACGTATACCACAATATGTAAACATACATTACGTTACTGTTTTTAGGAGTAACCTTTCACAACCCAACCTTCAGACTGCCTCTCTTTCTGAAATGGCAATATCTGTCCAAAATATAGAAATAAGGGGAAATATACCATAGTTCTTTCTATACAGGAAGAATAAAGACAGGCTCTGTCTTTGCAGAGAGGAAGAAAAAAGCCTCAGCTTGAGAGGTAGCAGTGGCAGCTTCTCAGGATTTCCTTCTGGATGCCCAAAATGTTTCCCTCTGCAGCAGGATAGAGCTGTATGTGCAACAAACCCATTTGGGACTCTGAAACTAGACTGACAAATGAGGTATGGTGGCAAAGACTATCCTATCAAGAGTAGTGAAGCAGATCTTAGATCATTCGTAATCTGCAGACTAGATGGGGTCTATGTCCATCATACAACTGTGGTTGACTAGAAGTTTGTATGTTGTTGTTGTTTAGTCATTTAGTCGTGTCCAACTCTTCGTAACCCCATGGACCAAAGCACGCCAGATCATCCTGTCTTCCATTGCCTCCCAGAGTTTGGTCAAATTCATTCTGGTAGCTTCGATGACACTGTTCAGCCATCTCATCCTCTGTCGTCTCCTTCTCCTCTTGCCTTCACATTTTCCCAACATCAGAGTCTTTTCCAGGGAGTCTTTGCATGAGATAGCCAAAGTATTTGGAGCCTCAACATCAGGATCTGTCCTTCCAGTGAGCATTCAGGGTTGATTTCCTTCAGAATGAACAAGTTTATTCTCCTTGCAGCCCAGGGGACTCTCAAGAGTCTCCCTCAGCACCACAATTCAAAAGCATCTTCGGCAATCAGCCTTCTTTATGGTCCAGCTTTCACTTCCATACATCGCTACTGGAAAAACCATAGCTTTGACTATGCGGACCTTTGTCGGCAAGGTGATGTCTCTGCTTTTTAAGATGCTGTCAAGGTTTGTCATCGCTTTCCTCCCAAGAAGCAGGCATCTTTTAATTTGGTGGCGGCTGTCACCATTTGCAGTTTTTTTTTTACCCAGGAAGGTAAACTCTGTCACTGCCTTCATATCTTCCCCTTCTATTTGCCAGGGGGTGATGGGGTCCGTGGCCATGATCTTAGTTTTTTTACGTAGAGCTTCAGACCATTCTTTGTGCTCGCCTCTTTCACTCCCATTAAGAGTTTCTTTAATTCCTCCTCAATCAGTTTGTATGATCTCTTCTATAAAAAGAAAAGGTGGAGATTGTGCTCCTTTATTTATTTATTTTTGCATTCCAAGAAAAACTTTTTGATTCTCTAAAGGGAGAATGGAATACTGCCTATCAGGGACTAAACCCACTAAATACAATGAGACTTTCTTCTCCCAAACACAGATCACTTATGCTAGTAAATATTATATAGTCGTGTATATCAGTGTTCTTAACCTTGGGTTACTCAGGTGTTTTTTTAACTGCAACTCCCAGAAACCCCAGCCAGCACAGTTGGTGGTGAAGGCTTCTGGGAGTTGCTGTCCAAAAACACCTGAGTAACCCAAGGTTAAGAACCACTGATGTACAGTATATGAGAGTGCTGCAAATCTACTAGTTCTAGAAGTTGTCACTATTTCATTTTAGCTCTTCCATACCACCAGTGATGCACTACACAGAGAACAGGATGGCAGGGTACATTGAGTCAAATGTATAGATTCCTGCTTGATCGAGAAGAACAGACTGAAAAAGAAGGATTGAAGTTAGTGTGGGAACAAGACTTAGGAAAAAGAATAAATGATGAAGAATGGAGGAAGATGTGGAAAATGAGGGTTTTACGATTTATGTCGGTGAGAATAAGAGAAAAAGTTTTCAAATTGGGTTTAAGATGGTATTTGACACTGACAAAATTGAATAAAATTAACACTAGCTATCTGAATGTCTGCAGAATCCATCCATAATATGACAATAGCTCTGGCACCTGAACTTAGAAAAGTTCAGCCAGCACAAAGAAAGTTAAATTTTCAAGACATGATCTGGCCCCTATGCTGCAGTCTATAGCAGTATATTTGGTCAGGACCACAAGAATGCTAAGCACAGCTCTTCAATCTGAGATAATAACTTCCAGAACTATACATTGCAATTTGTTTTTAGGTGCAGATGGTTGAGCTGATTAGGGAAATACAGAAGTATTTTTTTCTGGTTTGTCCAATTCAGATACTTCATGCTGTGTGCCAGTTGTGCAACATTATTATATTCCATAACAGAAAAAAAATTCTGAGTATTGCCACATTATTCTAGGTTGCAGCCTCAAGTTCTAAGTTTCATGGTTCAAGAGCTCGCATCTCTAATTTGTTTACAGAATAGACCTAAATAAGTACAGTTGTACCTGCTATGGCCATGGCATAACTATAACATCACTGATTAAGGATGGGGCAAATGAGAAAAAAAACTCGGTTCTCAAAAGTTTGTGGCTATTTCTTTTGAGTTCTCTCAGTGTATTCCTGGATTATCAAATTCCATCTTTGTTTGAAAACGAATCCTCTTTATTTTGTACTGGGGAAAGCTTGTCTCCTAAAAGAAATTGCCAAAAGATGGCAAGTACTGCAGTGTTTGCACAAATGCGCACAGTGTACTCATAGGGAATCATAGAATTCACTTCTGTCTCTACAGGCGGAGATTAATAATATGATTCAAGAGAAGGGATGGCTAGCCTTTTGAAAGGTGTAATCAACTGGCCCTCGCATATTCTTTTCCTTTCTACAATTTTAAAAACATTTTTCACCTATTCATTTTTATTGGAGGGACCAAATAGGACATTTATTTCAGGCAATGAAAACCTAAATTACTTTTCTTAGGAATTAGAGTCAATAAGTTATTTGACCCGCTGTGTTTTGTGTTATCATAAACTTTCTTCAGACACATGACCAGAACGTGAATTTGGTTTTAATGCAACAAAGGTAAGAACAGAAGTTTGTAGGAGGCGTTATCACAAAGGAGGGAGATAAATTCTCAGCTGGTGTGTTTATGAAAGAACTTAAATACATAAAGTCTCAGAAGTCTTTCATTAAGGTCTTCATGTTATATAGTTTGAATACTATATCATAGACATATTATTTATCATTGTAGAAGAACATGTTCCACACTCCATTTTTTTCAATTTTTCCAGAAAAAGCAAAAAAAGGCTTTTGAAGAAAAAAAAGGGGGAAACTGTTTTTTCCCCATTTTTTCCATTTCCCCGCCCCCAGGCCTTCCCGTCTCTATTTAAGACCAAGAAAAAAAAAGAAGAAGCAGCTAAAAATTCTATTGCTTTCAAATAAGAGTTCCTGTCCCTGATGTTGATACATGATCCTCTGCAGCCATTTTCATTGAAATCTCATAAAGAAGACAGTGAGTGAGGGTATCAGTGTGGGAAGAGGGCAAGAAATGCAATACTTGCAACACATGGGAATACCCTGACCGTTTTTGGTAGATAACATCTCTGAAACAAGAGTCCCTGTCCACTTGATCCAAACATAGGCCCATAATCCTTTGCTCTTATTTTCAATTAAATCTAAATGATTCCATTCTGAAAGCCAGATTCTCCTGATAAGGCCACTTGTGTTCAGCTGTAAGATTAATTATTTAAGCTAAAAGAGTTGTGAACAAAGATGGAGAACATTTTCTGCTGTTGCTTATAAAGAGACATTAAAATGGTCCAATGGAAATACCTCTATATTGTTTGCAGTCCCTCAGTTATAGATTGGCAAATGGACTTATTACTATACTGTACCAGAAGCAGGGTTCCTCCGAGGGCCAAACAGAAAACCATAGGCCCTGTCAGGTCTGTCTCATTCATAATGCTGCCATCTGCTGGCTTCATTGGATTTAGGACTGTTAGCGTTTTTTGCCAGATGTGATCAAAGTTGATCCCTAGTTCTGCAACAGAAAACCACATCAAAATGGCCTGTTATCCTAAGGGAAAACCTTGGTACAACACTTCATCAGGGAGACTGAAGCCCTAAATATCAAAGCAATTAATTGACTGTAGGCAGACTCTTGTAATGACATATGAATTGTAGCCAAGACCTAATTTGGATTGCAGATTGGGAGTTACTGATTACTTGGTTATGAAAGGAGAAACTATGCACACCAGATGTCAAAACTAACCCCACACGGCTTTGATAAACCTGCATGCACCTGCGCTCAGGCATGCATGCATGCATGCATGCAAAGACCAACAAATGTATAAACAAAAATTTCAGTACCTAGCCAAGTACTTTTAAAAACATTGACGATATTGAAGCTGCATATTTTGGTTCTCTTGTACCAGTCTCAAAACATGGATGTAATCAGACATTTTTTCCTTATGAATGCTAATAGACATGCTGTTTCCGTATAAATCTAATGGGACAAGATTATGTCTAACAATTGCACTCTGCTTTTCATGTTGTTGTTGCTTGGTTGTTAAGTTGTGTCTGACTCTTCGTGACCCCATAGACCAGAGCACGTCAGGCCCTCCTGTCTTCCACTGCCTCCTGGACTTTGGTCAAATTAATGTTGGTTGCTTTGATGACACTGTCCAACCGTCTCCTCCTCTGTTGTCCCCTTCTCCTCTTGCCTTCACAATTTCCTAACATCAGGGTCTTTTCCAAGGAGTCTTTTCTTCTCATGAGATGGCCAAAGTATTTGGAGCCTCAGCTTCAGGATCTGTCCTTCCAGTGACCGCTCAGGGTTGATTTCCTTCAAAATGGGCAGGTTTGTTCTCTTTGCAGTCCAGGGGACTCTCAAGAGTCTCCTCCAGCACCACAATTCAAAAGCATCAATTCTTCAGTGGTCAGCCCTCTTAATGGTCCAGCTCTCACTTCCATACATCACTAATGGAAAAACCATAGCTTTGACTATGCGGACCTTTATCGGCAAGGTAATGTCTCTGCTTTTTAAGATGGTGTCTAGATTTCTCATTGCTTTCCTCCCAAGAAGCAGGTGTCCTTTAATTTGGTGACTGCTGTCACCATCTGCAGTGATCATGGAGCCCAGGAAGGTAAACTCTGTCACTGCCTCCATATTTTCCCCTTCTATTTGCCAGGAGGTGATGGGACCAGTGGCCATGGTCTTGTTTGTTTGTTTGTGATGTTGAGCTTCAGACCATTTTTTGCGCCCTCCTCTTTCACCCTCATTAAGAGGTTCTTTAATTTCTCCTCACTTTCTGTCACCAGAGTGGTAGATTTTTTCTGGAACTCTCTGGCTTTCTCCATAATCCAGCGCATGTTAACAATTTGGTCTCTAGTTCCTCTGCCCCTTCGAAATCCAGCTTGTACTTCTGGGAGTTCTCGGTCCACATACTGCTGAAGCCTACCTTGTAGGATTTTGAGCATAACCTTCTTAGCGTGTGAAATGAGTGCAATTGTACAGTAGTTGGAGCATTCTTTGGCACTGCCCTTCTTTGGGATTGGGATGTAGACTGATCTTTTCCAATCCTCTGGCCACTGCTGAGTTTTCCAAACATGCTTTTCATATCCTAGTATATAAGATAGTGCTTTGTGTTCACTAGCCATTTCTCAGACAAGAAAGTTGGTGAATGCAGAGATCTTCTCACTCCAGAGTCTGGGTATAAGGGGTGTTAGAATTCACAGCTGCTCATGATCCACCAAGCCAAATGCAGGCCAGTAGCCCCGTGTGGTAGAAATCATCTGATTTTTCAGCCTGCCTATGAATGCGAAAATAGATTGTGTGCTAGTGTACTTAGCCAGCATTTTGTTCTAAGTAGTGAGGTAGTGAGGATGGCCTGTCTGAGTGCAAGCAGAAGTTGGGGTTTCTGTGACTTTTTGGATCATGCTGGATAGGAGTGTTTTGGAGTTGTAGTCCAATTTTTGGGGAAAAATAACATTTCTAAGCTCTGGTTCAGGCATCATTAAAATGTCAGCAGCAGCAGCATAGTTTGAAGCAAAAAATTCCCACACAAGCAAAAACAAGGCAAAAGCAGGACTGCAGACACCAGTGGGACTTGGGGAGCTGCAGGTGTCACACAGATTACATACAAATTAATCCACAAGCAAAGTAGCCTCAGAAGCTACTCAGAAGGTGACATGGATACTCATGAAGCCATGAATTGCCCAACCCCAGAGTTATGACAGGCCAGTTGTGTTCCGTTTCATAGTTCACAGACTGTACAGACCATCAGCTCTGTCACCAAAGAGTAACAGAAGGAGGCCAGTTTGATAGTCTAATTTGATAGTTTACTCTCATCCTAAAGACCAACCAATCCATAGGTAGCTACTGTACTCTTGTTTAGGCTACTAGGATATATAACATGCAAGAGAGGTCTTATGTAGCACTGAGTAGTGTTTAGAAAAGTATGAGGGAGGTTGTTCATGTTTACTTAGAAATACATGCTACTGAGTTCAGTGGAGCTTACTTTCAGTTAAGTGGATATATGATTGCCTTTATCTATCTTGACTATGAATTTCACTATAGGTTATTAAGACTTTAAAAAAACTAGCATAGCTGATACTACAGTTATGTAAGCCCAGGGCGATTCACAGGAAATGCTTAGTTTTTATCTTAGAATAAGTCACCTTATTTTAAAAGGAATGAAATTTATTATAAGTTATGTAAACAAGATTATAACAAGTGTTTATTAATTATAGGTACCCTAACATGATATCTGATTATGCAGTATAAATACAGAGGGAAAGGCATAGCTGTGAAATTCAGAAATGAAATTTATTGCAGTCCTGTCATCTAGAGGTAGTAAACTCTGTGATGTATGTGCTATAAAAATGAGTTAATGCCTTTATTTTCCATGCAAATTGTGCTACTGGCCTTTCAGACATAAACATGTGCCTGTGTTACAAATGCAAGACAACAAATTAACCAGAGTTGTGGGTTTTTTTTATTTGACAGCCTTGGATTGAATACTTCAAAAAATATGTTTTATCTAAGATTCTGACTATATGATCATCAGTGCAGTTACAGTTTTGCTCTAGGCAACTCAACATTGGGTTTCATTTGAAAAATACTGAATAGAATGTTCATTGACCTTTAGTCTGCCCCACATTTGTTTATTTATGAGACTAAGAGTTTCAGTGCTGTTGTGCAATATCACATCTTGGACATTATACAGTCTTTGCTAATAGGCTGTGATCTGTGACTGAATTTTTACATAAAGAATCTGTGGCAATGGAACTGAGCAACGAGCCAAAATCTTGGTTTAAAATTCCAAGCAAGAAGATTTATGGAGGACTGTACAATGCATGGGGGGGTATGTCTTGTGTAGGAAAGTATGCACTTCTCCTGTTTGTTATTTCAAGGAAAAGTGTGGAGAAGAGAACCTGTTGGCTGGATAGAACATGCTTTATAATTAAATGTTATCTAATGAGGGTGGAGTAAGTGGCTTACTCAATAGCATAGAAATCTTTGATGGGTATTAGCAGATTCTGCCTTAAACATAAGCTGCCAGAACATGCAAAAAGTGTAATTAATTGTTTTAATTCCACACCTTCTAGCAATGGAGGTTCTTCATCAAAGCTGTCAGAATAAACAGTATTTGATAGAAACTCAGAAGCATGTGCTGGTTGAAAGATTTGGCCAGTGTACGGCTGAGAAGATGAAAGCGTTCCTGGAGAGGCAAAGGCTTCAGACTGGGGCATGGCCCCCATCCAACCTCTACAATGAAGAGGACATTAAAATAAATCAAAAGCAACCCTACCAGACACAGTCCTGAAGCCAGTGGTGTATATGTTTAGACATTACCTAATATCACATACATAAATATTCCAGCTCTCACAAGTGCTGTTCAGCCCTTTCAATATCATAGTAAGTAAAAACATAAACCATTCTTAACTTGAACGATTCGCCCTTATTCCCAACAAAACAGATTGACTTAGTTCCATTATCATTAATGATATCATAGCCAGTTCTATCCTATTTCATTCTAGTAATGTCAGTGTGAAAGAATCATAAGAATAAGGCTATAGATAGGGTTCTTTTTTGTCTCACCTCCTTTTTCCGCTATGTTTATGGAGCAATTAAAATTTGCTTTGGTGACACCTAAGCAGTTCCCTGTGCGCATATTATCAGACCAACACAGTCTGAAATAGTTGAAATATGGTGTTAAAAGTAACATCTTAAAGTTAAACCTATTACTTTCCCCATTAGATGAGAGGAAATGCACCAATTTATCTGATGCTTTAAAATAAATCTTTAAAAGTAATACAGACACTTTTTTTCTGAGCTAAAACCATTACTAATGCTATTTCTGTGTCCATGTCTCCACCAGAACTAGCTCTATAAAATTAGGAAGAACAAACAATACACCTTATCACTTCAGATTTTGTGGACTGCAACTCTCAAAAACCTGAAGTTCTCGGCTTGGAAGACAAGTAAGCAGTCTTTAAAGAAATGCATTTAAAAGTGGTGAAATAAGTTATTGGCCAAAATCCTATTGCATAAACTACACCTGTGGAAGAGTGATTGCTTCACCGGTATGGGAAGATTCTTGGTAATTAATGAGTTTCTACTTCTATCATGTGGCTTGTCTGTAATCAGTTCTGATGTATGTGAACCATGGAAAGCCCAGGACAGAATGTCCTCCTGCCAGTGATGTCATTACTCATTACCCTTCTGCAAGAATAACTTACACAACATGATTTTGGCCATTGAATCTATGTATTCAGAATTATTATTAATTTAGATTATATAACCTGTACAATATTACAAGATTTCAGGGCAGGATGCATCAAGAACCATATTCGTTTTTTAAAAGCAATTGTATGTTTTAAAATAACAATTTACAATTATTTATACCATATATATTACAATAAACTAAACTTTGAAATAATTTAAACCATGATTCTTAAAACCCAAAGGCTCTGGCGAACAAGCATATTTTAATTTGGCAAAACAAAACTAATATTGGTGTCAAATGAGGTTCTGGAGGTAGACACACCACAGCTGAGATACTGTAGTTATGAAAAGTCCTCTTTCCTTTCTTCACATAATGTACTGCTCTCAATGATGGGACAAGGATGATGGGTCCACCAGCAGATCTTAACAACACTCATAGCTAAGACAAAGTTGAATTACAAACACTAGGACATGCTTCTTGTGTTAACTGTTGTAGTTACTCCCAAAGATTAGAAGAGCTGGACCTATTCATGAGTGGACCATCCAAGGACCAGCTTTCATCTGTCATGCAACCCAACAGATCCATCCTACCTAGGTCTCCTGCACATGAGACTACACCCTAACTACTCTTGGAACAATACAGTGTCCTGTGAGCTGTGATATTCATCCAGTTGTGACATGAGCCAGGTGACAGGGAGAACATTGTTTTTCATTTTGCCATTACTGCACAAGGTGAGAGATTACACTGCAGAAGAAAACTCTGGTGCTTGCTTTTTGGGCCGTATGCTCCTCTGTCTTATGTGATCCATACCCGATTACACAGGTCTAAGGTCTTCCTGTTCCAGACATACAGATCTGGCTTCTGCTAATCCGGCCTAATACTAAAATGAACAATTATTTGTGAAATTCAATGTCATTTATTTCCTCTATTTGAAAGTACAACATCTAATATGGTTAACGAATGCAAGTTTTCTTGGATATCAGATTTTGAATGCAAATCTAGTTTTCAGTTTTGGGAAACTTGATGTTTAGAACATTTGGCCATGTAAACCAAAATATTTATTATTATTTATTTAAAATATTTTTATTCCACCTTTCTCCTTAGAAAGAACCCAAGGTGTGTTACATCATTGAAAGACAGTATTTGAAACAGAAAACAAGTACACAGTGGTGGTTTCCATCAATAAAAGGCAACATTTCATGTTCCTTGCTGATGCACTCCTTAATTTATTTATGCACCAATAAAAGGCAATATTTAAACCTAAGAACCAGTATAAAAAGACAGCTTAAATCATATATAAACCACAATGCATTTCAGTCTATATAACTATAGATATAATTGAAATTACTTCAAACGATTCCTTCATCAGTTAACCAAAACTATCTCATAACATTTATTTATTTATTTAAAATATTTTTACCCTGCCTTTCTCCTTACAAAGGGCCCAAGGTGGCTTACATAATTGAAAGACAATATTTTAAACAGAATACAATGAGTATGCAATGGTGGTTTACATCATTAAAAGACAATATTAAAGCTAAGAGCAATGAGCTTACATCATTAAAAGACAATATTAAAGCTAAAAAATATAAGTAGACAAATAATACAAGGTACTAATATCACTCGGAGAAATGGTAGACACAAGTAGTACCAAAAATCCAGTCAAAGCAATAATTTATAACTTTCCATCTAAGAATCACACTTACGTAGCCAGTCACTGAGGGAAAACTTGCCTCAAGATAAAGTTGTTGCTTGCTTGCAAAAGATGAGGCCAGCCTAGCCTCCTGTGAGAGGAGGTTTCAGAGTCTGGGAGCAGCGACAGAGACTGCCCTCTCCCATGTCCCCTTCAAATGCACCTGTAAAGATGGTGGGACTGATAGAAAGGCCTCTCCTGATGATTTTCACACCAGCCAGCTCAAAATGGGAGGCACAGTCTTTGAAATAGCTTGGATACAGCCCATTTAGGGGTTTATAGGTTAAAATCAGTATTGAATTCCACCCATAAATGAATTGGCAGTCAGTGCAGCTGGTGCTAATGGCGGGGTGATGTGGTCCCTGTAACCAGCCCCAGGCATCAATCTGGCTGCTGCATTTTGGATTCGTTGAATTTTCCTGAATCTTTCCATTGGCAGCCACTCATAGAATGTGTTACAGCAATCCAGCCGGGATATGACTAGAATGTGTGTCATAATAGCCAGAGCAGATCTCTCAAGAAATGGATGTAGCTGCACACTAGTTTTAGTTGTGCAAATGTAGTCCCGGTCACCATCAAAACCTGGGCACCCAGGCTCTGAGATGAATCCAGGAGCACCCTCAAGCTGTGTACCTGTGTTTTCAGGTGGAGTGTAATCCCATCCAGCACAGGTTGCATTTTATTCCTTAATCTGCCTTTTGAGTGACCAGAAGCACCTCTGTCTTGTCTGGATTAAGTTTCAATTTATTCATCCTCATCCAATCCGTTACTGATACGAAATACTGATCTAGAGCCAAAACAGCTTCACCAAATTTAGTTGGCAACGAGAGGTAGAGTTAGGTGTTATTGGCATACTGGTGACACGGAAACCCCAAACAATCTCTCCCAATGATTTCATGTAGATGTTAAATAACACAGGAGACAGAACAGAACCCTAAGGGTCCCCACAAGCCAGCAGCCAATGATTCCAGGAGGAATTCCCCAGCACCACCTTCTGGGTTCTCTCCTCCAGGAAGGACTGGAGCCACTGTAAAACGGTGCCCTGAGTCCCATTTTAGAGAGATGGGTCAGGAGGATACTATGGTCCCCATTTTAGAGAGATAGGTCAGGAGGATACTATGGTTGATAGTATCAAAAGTCACTGAGAGGTTCAGTAAAACCAACAGGGACAAAGTCCACCTATCCAGTTCCTGGCGTAGGTCATCCACGAAGGTGATCAAAGCAGTCTCTGTCCAATAACCAGGCCTGAAGCCAGATTGAAATAGATCTAAAAAATCTGTTTCATCCAGGGGCCTCTGGAGCTGGGAGGCCACAACCTGTTCTAGCATCTTCCCCAAGAATAGAATATTATACTGGTCAGTAATAAAGAGACCAATCTGTATAGCAATTGACCTTTTGAAAAAAGTATTGACAAGGGTTTTCATTCTGTACCACAGCTGTATATAGATATCTGTGCTTTAAGATAAAGGAGATTGTGAAGTATCTATCTCCACCATACATTTAACATGCTTTTTGTTTTATTATTACTATAGTTACTGATAAGCCATATGGGAGCTGAAATGTAAGGAGCACTTTTTTATCTTCTAACAGTGAAGTAAATACTGTATTTAGGATCATACTTTCACACTATTAGAGAGCAAGCTGGGTAGGTGGGGCTCATCAGCCATGGAAGGCAGCCCATCTAGGAGAAGGAAAACTCTGATTTCAAACCTCCACTGCCCTGTGGCTACATCCACTCATGGAAACGGCTTCAGGAGTTAACCTAGAGCAAAATCTGGAGCTGGAGTCCCGAAGGCAGTTCGTGTTGTTCTGCCAACTCCTGTGACATTGCTGGAACCAGTTGTATTGGCTCTTGCCTTTCCATTGGACGTGGAGAGGGGGGATCTGCTGCCTGGGTAACAGCCTATCCTCCATATTACTTTACCCAGGCTTCATGCTCTGGAGAGGACACTCCTCGATACACAGCACATTACCATGGTCTCTTGAGATTGAAGGATGCCTATTCATATGCCTATTGATTGACTGATAGACCAACTGTAATACTGTAAGCAAAAAATGAATGCTATAATTCATTGTAGCTAAAATGCAATGTTAAAGCTTAAAAACACATTTCCCCTATTGCAAGCACTCACCTTTTGCTTCCATAGACATAGCTGGTGTCTCCAGACTCACTATAATCTTGCTCTTGGTTATCTGGAGGGTAATTTGATTTGTAAAAATCTATATCAAATTGTCCGAAGTCTGACATTCTGTAGAGAAGGAAAACAGATTTCTTACCACCTATTAAGTGTTTTTGTTTTCAGTGTATGTCTTCTGTGGTAGATTATAGAAGTTCAAGGGCTTTCCCCCCCCTATACCAGTCATTTCCTCTATATTTATGACTTGTTTGTGGAGAATTTAAACAAAGTTGTTCCCAAACTGTTGTATTCCTTATTTCCTCTCCCATCATTATATTTTTAAAGGCTGAGCCTAAGTATAGTTGCTAGACCCAACTAAAGTAGACCCACTGAATCAATATGAGTTGCATAAACATTGGATTACCATTCAGGAATTGATTCAATGGGTCTATTCCACGGGGACCAACCATGGGGTTTAGGCCCAGGTATATGGCAATTTCTCTGTCTTTAAATGCAGCTGTGCAACCAGTCTACCCAAAGAGCACTAACTAAGCAGAGTAATGTGGTTTAACAAAGGCATTATTCTTTATCTCTTGCCTGAGTTTTGAGGTACCCCTTTGTTGCATCCACCCTCATGCCCCCTTGCTTGACCTTCAAGCCCCAGAGCACACAAAGGTAAACAAACCTCACTCTTTTCACTTGCTGCCACCAGGTGATCTCTAAATCACCATTTACTTCAGAAAGATTCAGGTCCACACCTCAATTTCTGGTAAATAAAACTTTGGTTTATTGAGTACATAGAAATATTCGAGCTAATTTTCTGAAAGCCATTGCAATCAATTGTGTGGGAGATTCCCAGATATGAAGGGTCTCTTATTATTTTACATGTCTTTGATTTTATCATGATTTTACTTGACCATTTTTGTATTTTAAATAATTGCGACGGCTTTTATCCTGTTTTTATCTGACCATTTCTGCATTCAATAATTGTGACGGCTTTTAGCTAATACAATAAACTTGATCTGAATAAACATAGATTGATTCATGAATATCTTCAGTAGTTAATCATTCCTCAGAATTTCCCCAAACTACACATTCTATTACACTCTCTGACTCTACTCTTACTGACTCAGTCTGACTTAAACTCTACACACTGACTTGAACTCTATTAATCTCACACTCTGACTGAACAATTGACTCAGGCTCCGCCTCTTATAGTATCTGTCTTGGCTCCGCCTTTCAGCAACATGAATATTCAAAAATCATTACATTATACAACAAGAACCATAGATCAACTAAACAGAGAATGCTACACCCTTGGTTCTTCCATCATGTTAACCCTTTATTAACTGATCGCTGTTCCCTCTCATCCATGGCACTGCTTAGTTAGCCCCTCTTATAGTATCTGTCTTGGCTCCGCCTTTCAGCAATATGAATATTCAAAAATCATTACATTATACAACAAGAACCATAGATCAACTAAACAGAGAATGCTACACCCTTGCTTCTTCCAACATGTTAACCCTTTATTAACTGATCGCTGTTCACTCTCATCCATGGCACTGCTTAGTTAGCCCCTCTGTTGATCATTTCATGTTCCTTGCTGATGCACCCCTTAATTTATTTTTTGCAGCCAGAGCAATTGCTTGTCCCTGTGCTTTCTACCTTCAGTTTTTCTTATCATACATGATGTAGCAAAGTATGAAACAAATAACAAGCAAACAAAAAATAGACATGGAGGGGGCAGCTAGGAAAAAACTAGAGTTCAATAAGTCATTGCTTCATAGATATACTCTTAAGATGACAAAGAAACTGATCTACCCCACCTCCACTTTTGGCATGTTTCTGCAACTTGCAGAGGTTGATGAGTCTGATGAGCCCTTCTCTATCTGTACAGTACATACCTTCTATGGGAATTGGGACTCTAATTTTCAAGGTCCTAATGGAGAGCGTTCATGATGAATAGTGACCTCTCCCTCTTTAAATGTCTCATTCTTGATGTACCTTATTTTGAGTAAACTAGATATGGATAGAGATAGGCACGAATCAGAAAAATTGGGATTCATTTTGAGTTATGATTCATCAAGGTCAACAAATAACGAGTTTATGATTTTTTCTGACAAATTGACAAATCAATTTGTCAATTCATTTTTAATATAAAACCATATAAAACAGTTCCCCAAGAACCTAGAGAATCTAAATTCACAGGGAAACTTCTCATGACTCTCCTCTACTAACCCTGCATGTTTGATAAAGATTTGATTTCAGACATATGAGTTATACACCCACACGTAGCCTAACCCCCAGAAAGTCCCCCCAAGCACCTAGAGACACCATTCTTAGAGAAGTTTCCTACGAAGCTTCTCCTCTACAATCCCTCCATGTTTGGTGAAGACTGAGTTTCAGATATCCAAGTCATACCCACAAAGCGGGTGTCCCCCCAGAAATGTGTCCTTTAGCAGCTGGCTTCGGGAAACCCAATCAAACATGGAGGGATTGTAGAGGAGAGTGTTTAGAAGCTTCTCTGTGATTTTGGTGTCTGCAGGTGCCTGGGGCCATTTCATAGCCAAATGAACCAAGGAATTAAAAATCGCTAAAAATTCATTGATTCGTATTTGTTGGGGCATTGATTTGTATGAATATGAACTGATGAATTAGTAATTTTTGAATAAATTTGGTGATTCATTTTTTTAAATTCATGCCCATTTCAAATACTGAGGGATGAGGCTAGAGTGTTCCCCTCTATGTATGATAAGCACACCTGCTCAGATACTGACTAAATAAGGCCCATGTCTTCTTTAATGTAAGGAAATTCAGACATTTTAATAGAAAACAGCAACAAACAAAAGTACCATAAGTAACAAGAAATCAGCAGTAACAATAACAGCAAAAGAGAGCAGACACCTGTAAAATTTACTGTGTAATTGTGGCCTAAATATTATATTCTATGTGTCTGAAAAAAGCTGACTGTATTCTCTGGAAGCCCACACTTGAAAAAAAATTGTTAGATTTAAAGGTGTCAGAACAGTTGTTTTTATTCTATACAGTCGTGCCCCACTGGACCATTACTCTGCTCTACGATGAATCTGCTGTACGTTGATGTTTTTGCGATCGCTTTTGCGATCGCAAAACTATGTTTTAAATGGGGTTTCTTCACTGTGCAATGATCGGTTCCCTGCTTCGGGAACCAATTTTTGCTTTATGACGATCAGCAAACAGCTGATCGTTGGGTTTCAAAATGGCCACCGGCTGAAGAAAATGGCCCCCCGCTGTTTTCTAGGATGGATTCCTCACTTTACGGTGAAAAATGGCCACTGTATGGAGAATCTTCACTGGACGAACAGGTATTCAGCCCATTGGAATGCACTGAACGGTTTTCAATGCGTTTCAATGGGTTTTTTATTTCGTTTGATGACGTTTTCACTCTACAGTAATTTCGCTGGAACGAATTAATGTCGTCAAGTGAGGCACCACTGTATACTAAAACAGAACATATTGATTTTGGGAATACTCAGATACAGTGGTGCCTCGCTTAATGAGCGCACCGTTTAACGAAGAATCCGTATAGCAATCCCTTTTTGGGGATCGCTATACGGATCTGCCCCAATCGCCGCACTCGCTTTGCGACGATTGGGGCATCCGGCGGCCGCGGATGGCCCGAAATGCCCCCCCGCAGCGTTTTCGCGACCTCCGTAAGCAAGGGGAGGGCGTGAAAACACTGATAGGGGCCATTTCGGGTCATCCGGCGGCCATTTTGGAGCCGCCGATGGAATGCATTGAACGGTTTTCAATGCGTTTCAATGGGTTTTTTATTTCGTTTGATGACGTTTTCGCTCTACAGCAATTTCGTTGGAACGAATTAACGTCGTCAAGCGAGGCACCATTGTATACCAAAACAGAACATGTTGATTTTGGGAATACTCAGATATTTTGTTTGCTATTTACAGCTTAGAATATATGTCAATGTCCTGGATCTTGCTGGTGTCTGTGTAAGATCTGTGTAACTTTTAAGATCTGTATAATTCTACATGAGATAAGTTTCTGTGATATTATGTGCAGTGTACGTATGGTTATATTCCCCACCACCACTGCAAAAGCCAGGAAATCCAATTCTTTCAAAAACCTCCATTTTATGAATGTGGGATATTGTGCTTCTTTATCCATGATTTAAAACTCCAAAGAAAAGGGAAACATTTCTTTCAGAAAAAAAGGCTAATTATTCCCTTAGGGTTACAAAAAGCACAGAAAGTTACAGATCACTGTATCAGTCTGGACAAAGTAAATGTCATGTGGATGGCAGAAAAAAGCCTGATACACATCAGTGCTGAATCAAGTATGTAACAAAGAACAATGCTTGGTCTGTTGAAGTACTAATATTGTAATTCTTTGCCTGTTTACTTAAGAATAACTTAAACAGTTTAATATACAGTCTTGAACACCAAGTTAATGCTACCAAATAAATGTTGGAGTGCAAGTAGAGACATGAGAAATTGAGGTTGCGCGTCAGTAGATGATGCCACCTTTGCCAGGAGGTTGAGGAACAAAATACCTTCCTTTTACAACATCCTGTGTAATCATGGTTGTAGCTCCATCATACAAAATAGCGACTTCATCCTCAATTTATGTTTTCAGCCCATGTCCAGGAATTTAAAATTTCCCATCAAATCTAACATTTTCTTGAATAAACAAACATCCAGAGTTCTCTTCTTCTATAGCTGCAGAAAGGGACCTCCCAACTGCAATTTTACACATTCAGTTGTTGGGAAGAACTGTGGGAAGATTAAAAAATGTTTTGGAGTCTGTACACCACTTTGTACAGATATTAGGGTCTACACTACAACTAGGGTAAGAACTGTATAACGAGAGAGAAGGAGCAAAATGTATGAAAAAAATGTTCATGAGTAGATACCAATTTTTAATTTGCCCTTCACGACTGCTATTCAACCAAATTTGTTTTCTGGACAAATGCAAATGTATACTTCTAGATTTTTAGATACCAAACTACATTTTTACTGCTGTGTATATATATACTCTGAGCTCTCTGGGAACACTGGCAGGCAGTGACAGAATTCTTGAAAGCAATCATCTGCCCACGGGACACGGTGAAATATTCCCATTACATGGCTAACTATAAAACATCCTGAAGAGCATAGGAACTGTCTTGCTAGATGAGATGAACTATCCATGTAATCGAATGTCCTTGTTGCTGTGGTGCCAGGAGTTATGTCTACATTCTGGGAAAATGAACAGAAGAGGGAAGAGGGCAGTTCGCAGCCCCTCCTGCCCCATTTGGCTTTAAACTATGCAAAATGAAATTTTGGAATAGCCCTTAAAGGTAAGAGGGATTTAAAAAACACACACACAAAAACACCAAACACATTTCTGCATAAATAAATGTCCGGAGAAAAAAAATTAAATATGATTGTTTTTTAATTTCGGCTTGTTCTGGTATTTATTTCTTTTGCTTAAAAACCACACTGCATCTTTTCAAATAGTGAATGCTATACAGTAGTCAAATTAATCTGCTTCATTGGGATGTCTTCATTTATTTTTTTACAAAAATTAACAAAACAGTTATGCCATACAGTTATGCTGCTTCTTACTGGTGAACAAATCATGCCTGTTTCCAAATTCAGAACAAAAAAAATCTGAATTATTTTTAATAAGTCTAGTAAATTAAGAGGGTTTTTTATTAGGCATCTGACATTTTCTATGAATTATGCACACATAAAATTATGAGTCAAAGTATAATAATTCTTAAACTATCACAAGTTAATATTTTAAATTTTAATTTTCACTACAATTTTAATGCCTTTAATATTTCTCAGAAGTAACCCCCTCATCAAACAAGTCATTGATAACAGTCATGATGTATAAATTGTATATTTGTTATCAGTTGGGACTACAGAACTATTATGTTTAAATATTTAAATGCAATGCCCATACCTCTTAAAACTGCAGTTGAAAATGTCCTACCATAGATTTAGATCATACACAGAGAAACCAGCCAAGTATTCTGGTGCGTCAAGCAGGGTGAACTTGAGCTATTTATAAAGTCCTAAATTTGGCCTTCAAACAGATGCATGACAGAATGAAATATGTTCAGTGGCATGAGCAGCATTTCCAACATGATTTGTTGGATCACAACAATAAATGAAAGAAAAGAGTCATTTTCTTGCCTATGCTTTAAAACATGAGGGTTAAATAGAAAAATATCCTTGCTAGAGTGGTCAGGTATAAAAGAGAACCAGGGTCATATACTGTAAAATTGCACAAACAGAGAAGATTAGAAGGTGGTGGCTTTTCTCTCAGTGCTAGGAAAAACTATCCATGCAAACATTTCCTCTTCTATTCAAGCAGCCAAGAGCGCAAACCTATAACATTTCCTGAGAGTTAGTCCCCTTCAAGTTCACGTGACTTAAAAAGACATGTACAGAATTAACAGCTTGAAATATTTCACAGAAATAATTTGTTGCATTAGATATTATTAATTCATTACTGGCAGGGCAGAGAAATACAGGGAAAATAATATCTGTTGCCCTCTAATGGCCCATTCTGATATTCCACCATGTAAATATTTACAAAAATAGAAACACAAAACCAAAGCATATCTATCTTCCTGCTTAGTTCTGAGAAGAGTATGCCATAAGACCTGAATAAATCCTGTCAAAATACCTCTAAAATGCATTACAATGGGCTTTAAAAGTAAAATTTTAAAGTAATTAGGTCTTAAGTTTTACACCTAAATACCAACTTTGTAATTACTACTTATACTACACATTACCCCCATATAACTAATTTAAGGTAACTCAATTATTTATAAAGCACCCAATGTAGCTTAATGAATAGAGAAATGGACTATAAAATAATCATTAACTCTAGTAAATGGAAACAAATATTAAAGTAATACAACCCAGGTAATTTATACAAACTTTTAAAATAATTATATGCATGCATTTTTTGATAAGGGATACTCAACTTGCATGCTTTTGCACAATGTGATTTTTGATGTTGAACGCATGCTGATAATTTGTCAAACCTTGGCCTATATGCTGTTAGTCTGAGAGCAACACATACAGCACCCAGACAACCCAGATAGTGTGGTTGCTGACCTTGAGTCAGACATCCTGGAGAGTGAAGTCAAATGGGCCTTAGAAAGCGTGGCTAACAACAAGGCCAGTGGAGGTGATGGCATTCCAGTTGAACTACCGGTATTTAAAATCTTAAAAATGACCCAGTTAAGGTACTACATTCAATATGCCAGCAAGTTTGGAAAACTCAACAGTGGCCAGAGGATTGGAAAAGATCAGTCGACATCCCAATCCCAAAGAAGAGCAGTGCCAAAGAATGCTCCAACTACCATACAATTGCACTCATTTCACACCCTAGCAAGGTTATGCTCAAAATCAAGGCAGGCTTCAGCAATATGTGGACCAAGAACTCCCAGAAGTACAAGCTGGATTTCGAAGGGGCAGAGGAACTCGAGACCAAATTGCTAACTTGCGCTGGATTATGGAGAAAGCCAGAGAGTTCCAGAAAAAATCTACTTCTGCTTCAGGGACTATGCAAGTCCTTTGACTTTGTGGACCACAGCAAACTATTGTACAACTATATACCACAATTTAAACATAGTAATAATAATGTAGCTCAAGATGGAAAAACGATTTAAAAAAAGACAGAAAATTAAAATAGAAGAATAAAGCTCAAGCAGTAACAAAGGGGAAGGCCTGCCTAAAGAGCCAGGTCTTAAGTTGGCTCTTGAAAATACCCAGTGAAGGAGCCTGGTGAATCACAGACGGAAGACTATTCATAAAAAGACAAGCTCATTGGAAAAGGCAGCAATGCAGGAAAATGTGCAAAGCAGTAGGAAAAGAGGAAGACTGCACATGAGATGGATTGACACAATAAAAAACCCACAGTCTTTTGTTTGTAAGACCTTTTGTTTGGTGTTGCAGTCAAAGTAGGACCAGGAGCATAAAGACTGGGATCCAGTTTTTGGGAATAAACTCTGGGGGTTAGTGCTCTGCTTGCATGCCAAGGGAGATGTTTCCGCGTGCCACAGGTGGCATGCATGCCAGAGGTTTGCCATCACTGGACTAGACTCAGGAGGCCTGAGTTTGAATGCCCACGCTGCCAAGGACGTACACTGTGGGTGTGAAACTGGTAAGGAGACTCCTTAAACACCTCACTTACCTTAAAAGCCCTATTAGGGTCACTATAGGTTGGTTCTGACTTTACAGCACTTTAGGAATGCTGTAAAATTTTGTAAGCTGTGGCATTCCCAATAAAAATCTAATGTACAGGATAGTCTTGTAGAAGTAGGTGGTGTGGAGGGGTCACCAGTTCCCAAATCCTGTGGGGCCTGATGTCAGAGAGGGTGCAAGATGAGGGAATAGATCTGTATTTCCCACCTATCTTTTCACAAACCCAGATCTGGGGTTCAGTCAAAGCAGGGCCCTCACAACAGAACTTACTATCTATGAATGGACTGAATCTAAACCCATGGTGAGGAATGCCTGCTGCTTTTCCTCTGGCCCTCGACTCTTTTTCCAGGGAATAGAAGAATGCACCGTTAGGCAATAACATAGACGCCAGGAAATTATTTCTGCAGTGCGCTTCTATTTGTGTTTACTCAGAAGCAAGTTCCATTGTGCCCAGTGGGAAAAGGCTTCAGGAAATGTTTTTCAGAGTGAATCTACACACCTGAATCTTCTCCATCAAGCCTTGTTCATTTTAATGGGAATTGCTCCCACTGAAATGTATTTAGGGTGGCCACCCATGACTGAGTGTCTCCTATAACACACCTGAGTTCTCATTCTTTGATCTACCAGGTGTTTGGACTTTGTTACCATGATCTAGGATTCCAGGATTTTAAGTCTAAAAGCAACTGAAAGACCCGAGGTTGAGAACCATCGGTTTACATTAACAGCAAACTCAGGGTGTTACTACATTGACTAATAATAATGTGGGAAATGCTACAGGACTGCGATGGTCTGATTCGCATTGGGATGGTCTGATTTGCATACAAGTCAATGCAACTCAGTAGAGAGTGGGAGAGGTGTGTACATCACTAACAAGCAAGTAAATATTTAAGAGTGGAAAATTAAAGGGGAATACCTTCCCCATGCATAGCCCAAAGAGTGAACATATTCAGTGAATCCAGAATGACTGTTGGGAGAGAAAATAAATGTTCCTTGAAAACTTGTTTTGGCTGTACTTGGTAAATGAAACAACTCATTTTACTCCCTCAGTGCAGAGTAGTGGGATTGATGGCAGGGTCGAAGTAGATATGAAGAAACCTCATTACAAAATCTTATAAAATCCCTGCAATTAACACATTTTCCCTCCGGAGTTGCGAGTTTCTGTAAAATGAGTGTCTCAGCAATCAAACTGACAAAGTAGACTTGTGCTTCTTTTCTAGTCACAAATCAAAGTGTCCCTGAATACAAAATATGGAGGTGAGAAAGGCTGATGCTGTTATGTCCATTGTTATGTTTATTTTAATCTACAAAAACTCTTCTCTCTCTCCCTCTGAAAGAGAAGAGCATCTGTATATTAAAATCATCATAGCAATGGACACATGTCAGTAACCCTGAATGTGATCAAACGGCTGCAAAAGTGTGTGTGCCTGATCACACTGGAAAGGGTTGACAGCAGTCTGTGATCTTCGCCGGAGAATTAGAATCCAGATTTGGATGTTAACAGGGTCACTTTACAGAGTGTAATCTGCTTTAAAGCCACCCTTACACCTGCCAGGGAATCACTG